CTTTCGAACTTTCCGATCAATAATAGAAACCAGAATCTCTTCATAAGTCAATTTCTCATTAACCTCAATAGTCTCAACCGGAACGATGAGTGTCGGGTCTCCAACTACTTTATTCAATATAGACATATGAAACACCGGGTGCACTAATGACTTCTCTGGTGGTAGCTCAAGCTTTTACGCCAACTCACCGATCCTCTGAATGATTCAGTACAGTCTGACATACCTCGGACTCAATTTTCCTTTCTTACCAAATCACATTACACCTTTCATGGGGGAAACCTTTAAGAATACCCAATCATCTTCTTTGAACTCTAAATCCCTACGACGGACATCCGAATAGGACTTCTAACGACTCTGAGCAGTCTTCATCTGCTCCTTAATGATCTTAACTTTTTCCATAGCCTGATGCACGAGGTCTGGACCTATCAACTCTGCTTCCCCAGACTCAAACCACCCAATGGGATATCTACATCTCCTTCCACATAAGGCCTCGAACGGTGCGATCTGAATGCTAGCATGATAACTATTATTGTAGGCAAATTCTATGAGTGACAAATGATCATCCCAGCTACCTTTGAAGTCTAGAACACAAGCACGCAACATCCTCGAGTGTCTGAATAGTCCGCTCTGCCTGTCCGTCAGTCTGCGGGTGAAGGGTTGTACTAAGATGCACCTCAGTACCCAAACCTTGCTGAAATTTGTTTCAAAACTTAGCAGTGAATTGTGCTCCCCGATCAGAAATGATGGAAATTGGAGTGCCATGCAAACTGACTATTTCTTTGATATACAACTGAGCATACTGTTCCGTTGTATCCGTAGCCTTAACCAGCAAAAAATGGACTGATTCGTGAGTCGATCCACAATCACCCAAATCGAGTCAAACTTACGAGGAGAAATGTATTTTTCTGCCCAAAGTTCTCCTTTACTCACCAGTACATTGTTCAATCCAAAACCTTAAATTCCTTTAAGATATTTTACAGGGCCTGACATAGCTGATACCGAGTGTGCAATATCATACCCGAGTGGATGCAAAGGAATATAAGATATATGCGTCAAGCTGAATCAATGTCGCACGATAAGGAATGAAAGAAGTGGAATTTTTTCATAGTGTCGTAGCCTCTCGAAGATAAGTACAGACGTCTCCATTCCGATCCGCAAGACTCTACTAAACATGCTTATGACTCGTAGCACCTATGAACCTAGAGCTCTAATACCAACTTGTCACGACCCTAGATTTCCTCCGTAGGATGTCATGATGGCATCTAGTATCTAAGACTAGGTAAGCGTAATACCTACTGAATTAAATGAAAGAATTTAACCAAAACAACTATTAAACATAATCGTATATCTCTATATAAAGCCAACAAACCCAACACAATATAATATCCCAAAACCGGTAGTACAAGTCATAAGCTTTTCTATGAGTAACTAGAAGTAACGAGTACATCAGTGTCCCGGGACAATTAGTAGACAGTGGGGACAAAATATAACAGAAGGTGACTTTGGGACCTGCGAACGTCAAACAGGTATACCTTGAAGTCTCCAGCCGCGCAGGCATAAATCTCCACCTAACTCAATCAAAAGTACCTGGATCTTCACAAAAATGTGTAGAAGCGTAGCATGAGTACACCATAGCGGTACCCAGTAAGTATCAAGCCTAACCTCGGTAGAGTAGTGACGAGGCCAAGTTAAGACACCTACCAGACATGTAAACCTGTGCAGGATATAACATAAAGCTAACAAGGGAAATGACGTCAATGTAAGACCAACAGCAGAAGGATCACAAATTTACCATCAACAATGAAAATAATAGGCACACGAATGGCAACAAGAAATAACCAAGCAATAAAGCAACAACATAGTTAGGATATAAATAAAATATGAATGAATTCAAGTAAGGGGAACCGATGACAACTCAATCAATCAAATCGTTCCTAATACACAAGTTACAACAAGAACTACTCGACGTACCACTCCTCGTAAATCTCAAATCATAAGTCACAACTTTCAAATCTTACAAGTATGGCACCTCGTGCCTACATTCTTTCAAATCACTTCCGCACGGCAAAGTGCAAGTGCTATCATGTACATCGTATCCGTGCCAATTGCTAAATAAATGTTCGAGAGATTTATTTATATATGATAAAGCATATTAACAATCTTGAATAAAGTAGGAAATCAAATGAGAAAATGAGTTTATTTTAGAAATTATTTGGGTAAAGAAAATAGCATTTTCAAATAAAATGAAGCATTGGATAAGTTACTGGATAAAATATAGAATTGGATATGTTACTGAATAAAATATAGAATTTGTTAAATAAAACATAATAATAATTTTTAAGTAAAGTAAAAACATCATATATGGTAAGGAGTTTAATTTGAGAAATCAATTAAAGTAAAAATGACAACTATTAAGAATAGTAAAGTACCGAATGAAACGACGAGTTCCAACTTAAGAGTCACGTAAGGTAAGCATGTTAAAATTTATTTTACTTAAAATCGTTATGTTACTAACAACTCGACATGGTATAAGATAATGACTCTGCGCAGTAAATTCATCTTGAAAATTTAATTCCCCAAGTAATCACGGAAGCACAGATTGACACATTGAAGTAATACAACAGTTCACGTAGGATGCATGACACATACAAGACATAACAACAACAACAAGTACAACACACACAATTCGTTATTGCGCGCAACCCGATCCCGCTGTATCATCATTTATCAATATCATAATTCTCCCTTATTGTAGCATAATATAATTAATCAATATCAAGCATTCACGTATATTATCCGTTGTGGCGCGCAACCCGATCCCGCCGTATCATCATTTATCAATATCATAATCTTCCCTTTAGTTTACCATATCATCATTTATCAATATCAATTATTATGTACATAAATCGTTGCGGCGCGCAACCCGATCTCACTGTATCATCATTTATCAATATCATAATCCTCCCTTATTTTACCATATCATCATTTATCAATATCAATTATTACGTACACAAACCGTTGCGGCATAACCCGAAGATACTTACCTCAAAGAAGCCAAATCAATACACTAAAATGACCCTCTCATGTGAAACACCCTCCGGGCGGCTCAAATCTAGCCAGAATAACTTAATATCATAAATAAAAATCATAGGAAACAATTCCGGATAATAAAGCTTCTATCTTTGAAGAAAACTAAAAGGTTAACCCTGGACCTGCACCTCGAAACTCGACAAAATTCACAAAATCCGAACACATTTCCGATACGAACCCGACCATACCAAAATTATCCAATTCTGACATCAAATCGGCCTTCAAAACCTCATTTTACATTTTTGAAAGTTTATACAAAAATTCTCATTTTCTCCCATTCAAATAACTAATTTAATGTTAAAAACGAAGACGGAATCACAAAATATAATCAAATCCGGATAAAGAATACTTACACCAAACCAACACGTGAAAATTCCCTACAAAATCTCCCAAATCCGAGCTCTCTAACTTAAAAAGTGATAAAATATCAAAAGCCTTCGAAATAGAGTACTTATATTCTGCCAAGTGATTTACTCATCGCGATCACGGAACATCACTCGCGATCGCGGAGAAAAAAATGATAACAGCTTACCAAACCTTCTTCATGAACGCGTAAAAGAGGTCGTGAACGCTATACACAGCCTCCAGCTCACTATGCGAACGTAGTTGCACCCACGTGATCGCGTACAACATAGGCTTGATGCCCCTTCCAGCTTCCCTTATATGCGATCGCGTAACTCAAAGCGCGAACACGACATCATAAGTTCCTCAAACTTCGCGAACACGGTTTCCTCTTTGTGATCTCGAAGAACAAAGTACATAAGACCACCATAACACTACGCGAACATGGAAGAAAAGGCGCGAACGAGATGAAGAACACGATGTGACAAAAATCAACAGTCCGAAAAAAGAATAAAATGGCATGTAGCCCATCCATAACACACCCGAGGCCCCCGGGACCCCGTTGAAACATACCAACACATTCCATAACATAACGCTGACCTACTCAAGGCCTCAAATCATATCAAAACTATGAATCGCACCTCATATCGTATTTAATGAACTTTCAACTTATACAACCCGCGGTGAATCATATCAAATCAACCCGTAATGACGTCAAATTTTGTATGCAAGTTCCAAATAACACAACAGAGCTATACCAACTCCCAGAATCGAAATCTGAACCCAATATCAACAAAGTCAACTCCCGGTCAAACCTATCAACCTTCCAAATCGTTAACTTTTCAACTTTCGCCAAAATGCATCAAATTAACCTACAGACTTCCAAATCCAAATTCGGACATGCGCCTATGTCCAAAATCACCATAGAAAACTATTGGAATCATCAAAACACCTTTCCGAATTCGTCTCCACAAAAGTCAAACACCGGTCAACTCTTATCGCTTAAGCTCCTAAAGCAAGAATCATCCTTCAATCAAATCCCGAATCATCCGAAAACCGAACTCGGCCACATACGCAAGTCATAATACATGATACGAAGCTGCTCGAGACCTTAAGCCACAGGAACGGCACACTAATTCTCAAAACGACCGGTCGAGTCGTTACAGTTTTATTCTTGGAAGAAAATATTAAACAATCTAAGTTTATTTTTAAACAATGTTTTGATATCTCTGTGATTTATATTTGACTATGGTTTTACCTAAATTCTCACAATAAGAGAAAAAACAAAAACAAAAGTATGTTCGTTGAAAGGCATCAATTTGGTCATATAGCAATCCAAATATGCGTGGCTCCGTATTGATCGTCTAACTTATTCTATTATAAATTTGTTCGCCCTTGGCGCAATCAAATAAATCTTTTTATAAATTTAGTTGACATAAAAAGATGAAATTTATATTACTAAAAAATTTTAAAATATATAGGACATACACATGAAAAAGTTGATTTCGTTGTCTGCACTTAAACGAGGTGCACGTAAATATTTTTCACATATGTATTAAAATAAACATTTAATTTTGACTGATGGTGAGGGCACCGAAGCAGTTCTCAATTCGACGCAATTCCTTTGCAACTTGAATCATATATGGTCGATCTTCTCCCTTTGACGCAGTACATTGCTTAACAAGATCCAAATAGTCTTCCAAGTGTTGTCGAATCTCAATTCCGTGCTCTTCTAGAATGGCAGGATCCGCTATATCTATTGCACTGCCCTCTTTAATATAAAGTTGGGCGTTCGTGGGAAGATATGGATCTTCAAACTCGACGCTGGGTGGAATATCTCTAATATCTATCTCGTGCATGCTTGTTCCAGTTAATAGCTGAAAGAGAAGAACCCCTAAGCCGTAGACGTCAGTTTTTTGAGTGACAATACCCGAGCGGACATATTCAGGATCTATATAGAGGGCTAATGTTCCGCGCACACCATCTTTTACTTCCAATTTTCCTGGAGGCAATGATATGGACAATGAGAAGTCGACCATTTTGACAACGCCACTATTCTGATCTATTATCACTTTGAATGGGTTTATATCTCTGTGGATGATAGGCGTAGTAAATTCGGTATGGAGATAAACTACTGTTGAAGCGACCTCATTCACAATCCGTAATCTATTTTCCCAAGATACTGGTCTTGTGACACGGTCTCGATTACCCTCATTAAAAAGTAAATCATGAAGACTTATAGCCTCAACATATTCATATACGAGAACTGGTTTTGCGAATTCAAGGTAGCAGCCGAAAAGTGTCAGCGCATTCTTGAGATGGCTCATTTGAGCAGTAATTGCTATATCTCGGTGGATACTACGGAAGCTCTGATAATTGAACCTAACTAAAACGAGGCGGTTGCAACCTAACTAATTGAACCTAACCATATCCACACCGGAGAGCTCTATTTTTCTTTTAGAGTGCTTAATTGCATTCTCGATCTCTGTGGCACTTAGGTAACGGAGGGGAATTCGGCAATTTCCGTCACATATAGCAAGAAGCTCCTCTAGCACTGCAGTTCCATTATTTAGATAATATTGCTTTTTCTTCAGCCTTTCTGCAATGGCATAAGATAACAGTTTCCTCATGAGTTCTTTGCCAAATCCGCTCCGGCCGCGCGCCAAGAGTAATCGATAAATGTAGGTAATACTAGACTAGAAGTCACTTTGACACTTCGTTTCCACTTAGTCTTAATGCAGTGGCCTTATCTACACTTGTGGAATGTTTCCAATTAGTCTTTCTACTGTAGCGTGTTCCACACAAAATGACAAATTGCGTCAGATGGCTATTGATTGGACTTTCTTCTAAACTACTCACTCGGTAGTTTCATTGCAATTGCTTTATAGTGTCTCTCTCTTGAATTTCCGTGCACTTTACCATTTGCTACTGTATAGCTCGTCCAAATACAAAGTTTGAAAAATTTAAAGAAAAAGAGATAATAATTCGGGGTGTCAAAATGGTTAAAAGAAAACAGTTAATCACCCATATTATCCACTAAAAAATGAGTTGGATAATGAACTATTTAAAAACGGGTCAAATATGGATAAGAACTATATTATCCATTTAGAAAATGGATAATCAATGGATACCAAATGAATTTAACTTTTACAATTGTAAAGTCTCAAATTAGAGGTTCCTCAAGTTTGGGAGACTAGAAATTCTTCCAAAAGTGATCATATTCATGAAGTCATGGATAATATAGTTACCCATATTATCCGCCGGTTAACCCGTATTAAATATGGGTCAGATTGGATAATTTATCCTTTTTTTCATTACACGTTTTCGATCCATTCCATATCCGACCCGACCCCGTTTGCCACCCCTGTAGTTTCATTGCAATTGCTTTATAGTGTCTCTTTCTTCAATTTCCGTGCACTTTACCAGTTGCTACTGCATAGCTCGCCCAAATACAAAGTTTGAAAAATTTAAAGAAAAAGAGATCATAATTCATGAGGACACACACACGGAGTGTGCAGCCATATTCCACACGTACAAAAGTGAAAAGTACGTAAATTTGCTTTTAGAAAACATGTTTGAAAGTTATTCCTATTTTTGTCCTTAACAAATTACTTTTTCTCTTAACTTTATCGAGTTGGGAATTGGTGAATTTCATAATGTCAAAATATTGGGGGGGAGGGGGGAACGTTTAAATTTATCCATTTATTTTTCAGTATAGTTTAAAGTTATCTTCATTATACTTTAAGCTGGAGCATAATTAGAATCACTAACACAAGAATATAAATAACCTTACAAGAAAACGATTGATAAAATTAAGATATCTCATACTATAGAGAGATATTTCAATTCTTTCTCTTTTAAATAATATGGGTATAATATATATATATACACACACACACACACAATTGTATGCAGGTAAAATCGAGCTCATGGTACATTCCGACCTCCAAAAAAATAACCCAGGCTCGAGACATGGCGGCAAGGGACCGAAATCGAGCCAAAGTCCCACCGGACCAGAACACGGGGGCATGACGCCCGCCCTCGAGAATATCGAGGCCATGGTGCCGGAATCGATCCTAGCCTCGAACTACTTCGAAGAACATTGTCACACAATCCAGCATAGCTAACAAATAGCCGAAACATCCGTGACCGGCCGAATATCACGGCGGGGATCTCGGCACGTATCGATAAAGAATCGGCAATCAATGAATCGGAAGATTGTTTACCTTTTATAGAGTTGTACCTAAAGTAAGACACCCCTACTATATAAAGGGGTCTAATAATTCACGAAGGACATTATAACACGCACTCAAAAGCAATATATTATTATTTTCTCTATCTTTAGCTCTTGTTCTTTTTCATCTGTACCTGTCGTGGTGAGCCCGGCTCGAGAGTGTCTATTTCACTAAGGCCGAAACTATCCAACTCATGTGGTTTAAATTTAGTTTATCTTTGTTTATTCAATAGTAACTTAATCTATCACTTTGTATCAAGTTAATCCGCGTATCCTTAAAATCACTTACAAATTTAATTGTTATCCGATTTTGAGGGTAAACAGTTTGGCGCCCACCGTGGGGCTAAGGATAATAGCGGCAATTTGATACAGATACACGTAACACACCCTATTGTACACTCATTCTTTAAAGTGTCTTTGATTCCAGGTCAAAATCTAAATGTCAAACCCCCAGTCTGCGCCTCTAAACATAGATGCTGAGTCCAGCCACCATGTCGAGAACATCAATGTAACACCCGGTAACGAGGTGCCCCTAGTCGATCTCGACGGAGTTCCGATCGCGGACCCTATCGACGCCAATTCGCATGTGGCCATCAACACAAATTTACCTACCAATCCTGAGAACAGCGTGCGTAGAGAAGTCTGATTCGATTGCCCAGAATACGTACAACGGTGAAAATGATGGGATCAATTTGCGGGTGATCTTCGAAATGTTACAGGCTCAACAGGCAGTGATAGCCCAGTTGTAGAACCAAAGCCCAGCGCCGAGCAGGGTTAAGCCCGAGCCATCCCGGGAAGTCACCCGCAGAAATGAACCGATCACGGAGAGGCCGAATGAAAATAAATTGTGGGCCTACCCCGAGATCATAAAAATGCTCAAGGAATTGACAAATTGATGTCAATGAATAAAAGGTGAAAACCTACAATTCCAGGGTCGACCGAATTCTAGGAGCACCTTCGATATTCAAGGGTCTGGATTCCAAGATGTTTGTTCAAAAACCTTTTCCTCCGAGTGTAGCCTCAAAGTTGATCCCAAAGAAGTTCTGCATGCTCGAGATTCCTACGTACAACAGAACGACCGATCCAAATGAGCATGTGACTTCCTACACATACGCCATCAAAAAGAACGACTTGGAGGATGATGAGATCGAGTATGTCCTGCTGAAAAGGTTCTGGGAAATTCTGTCCAAGGGAGCTATGATATAGTATCACAACCTACCTCATAATTCTATTAACTTGTTTGCTATGCCTATAGATTCCTTCATAAAAGCCCACTCCGGGGCTATCAAGGTCGAGACCAGGAAGTCAAACCTTTTCAAAGTGAAGCAGAAGGATAATGAGATGCTAAGGGAATTCATGCCGTTTCAAATGGAATGGATGGACTTGCCTCCGACAAAATAACCCAGACTCGAGACATGGAGGCAATGAACCGAAGTCGAGCCAAAGTCCTACCGGACCAGAACCCGGGGGCATGACGCCCGCCCTTAAGAATATCGAGGCCATGTTGCCGAAATCGATCCTAGCCTCGAACGACTTTGAAGAACATTGTCACACAATCCAGCATAGCTAACAGAAAGCCGAAATATCTGTGACCGGTGGAATATCACGGCAAGGATCTCGGCACGTATCGATAAAGAATCGGTAATCAAGGAATCGATTTTTTTTACCTTTTATAGAGTTGTACCTAAAGTAGGACACCCCTACTATATAAATGAGGTCTAATAATTCATGAAGGGCTTTGTAACACGCACTCAAAAGCAATATATTACTATTTTCTATGTCTTTAGCTCTTGTTCTTTTTCATCTGTATTGGTCGTGGTGAGCCCGACTCGAGAGTGGCTATTTCACTAAGGCCGAAACTATCCAACTCATGTGGTTTGAATTTAGTTTATCTTTTTTTATTCAATAGTAACTTAATCTATCACTTTGTATCAACTTAATCCGCGTATCCGTAAAATCACTTATAAATTTAATTGTTATCCGATTTTGAGGGTATACAGTTTGGCGCCCACCGTGGGGCTAAGGATAATAGCGGCAATTCGATACAGATTCCCGTAACACACCCTATAGTACACTCGTTGTTTGAAGTGTCTTTGATTCCAGGTCAAAATCTAAATGTCAAACCCCCAGTCTGCCCTTCTAAACATAGATGCTTAGTCCAACCACCATGTCCAGAACAACAATATAGCACCCGGTAACGAGGTGCCCCTAGTCGATCTCGACGTATTTTCGATCGTGGACCCTATCGACGCCAATTCATATGTGGCCATCAACACAAATTTACCTACCGATCCTGAGAACAGCGTGCACAGGGAAGTTCGATTGATTCCCCAGAATACGTACAACAGTGAAAACGATGGGATCAATTTGCGGGTGATCTTCGAAATGTTACAGGCGCAACAGATAGTGATAACCCAGTTGTAGAACCAAAGCCTAGCGCCGAGCTGGGTTAAGCCCGAGCCATCTTGGGAAGTCACCCGCAGAATAAACCGATCGCGGAGAGGCCGAATGAAAATGAATCGGGGGCCTACCCCGAGATCATAAAAATGCTCAAGGAATTGAAAAATTGATGTCAGGGACAAAAAGGTGGAAACCTACAATTCCAGGGTCGACCAAATTCTAGAAATTCTTCTGATATTCAAGGGCCTGGATTCCAAGATGTTTGTTCAAAAACCTTTTCCTCCCAGTGTAGCCTCAAAGCCGATCCCAAAGAAGTTCTGCATGCCCGAGATTCCTACGTACAACAGAACGACCGATCCAAATGAGCATGTGACTTCCTACACATGCGCCATCAAAACAAACGACTTGGAGGATGATGAGATCGTGTCTGTCTTGCTGAAAAAGTTCGGGGAAACTCTGTCCAAGGGAGCTATGATATGGTATCACAACCTACCTCCTAATTCTTTTGACTTGTTTGCTATGCCTGTAGATTCCTTCGTAAAAGTCCACTCCGGGGCTATCAAGGTCGAAACCAGGAAGTCGGACATTTTCAAAGTGAAGCAGAGGGATAATGAGATGCTCAGAAAATTCATGCCATTTCAATTAGAATGGATGGACTTGCCTACGACAAAATAACCCAGGCTCGAGAGATGGCGGCAAGGGACCAAAATCGAGCCAAAGTCCCACTGGATCAGAACCCGGGGGCATGACGCCCGCCCTCGAGAATATCGAGGCCATGTTGCCGAAATCGATCCTATCCTCGAACGACTTTGAAGAACATTGTCACACAATCTAGCATAGCTAACAGAAAGCCGAAATATCCATGACCGGCCGAATATCACGGCAGGGATCTCGGTACGTATCGATAAAGAATTGGCAATCAATGAATCGGAATATTTTTTATCTTTTATAGAGTTGTACCTAAAGTAGGACACCCCTAATAAATAAAGGGGTCTA